GAACACCTTGCTGGGGTCGTTTGACCCCAGTACTTTTTCCTGCCATGGCAGGGGGTCAGACTTGATGATCTGCTCAGGTCCCTTCTGACCCTACTAACTATGAAACTATGCATGCTTTAGCAATACTCAATGTTTCTCCAGAGTGTTTTGATCTTGTTGGACAATAAGTTACAATCAAACCTTTGTTTCTAGATAAAAGAAACATGATTATATTCTAGGAAGACCATTAAGAGATCTATTCCCTGCTGGATGAAACCACCATTAATATTAAACAGGACTTGCACACTGCAGTATTAAGAATAAATATCAGGCTCCAATGGAGTAATATTAAAAAGTGTTGAAAAGGGCAGGGAAAGAAGTGGAGGAGGGCTTGAAAGTGTTTAATGCAATGGCAATGCAGTAATTACAACTATAATCATAATACCTAATGAATAGTAGGAAAATCTAAGGATTAGAAACAGCAAAGTGGTAATCTGCTGTGTTCTAAAATAATACACGAGTAATTTCATTTTGTAGATCCTATCCTCTGCTTTAAACAAGGGTCTGTCTCACAGGCTCTGGATCTCTAGCCAAACTAGTCCTAGACTTCCAGTGGATCAGAGACATCTCAGCAACACAGTTGTAATTAGCGCTAAATTGCAGATGTAGATCAGAATCTCTAGAGCTCATAGGAACAGTCAGTGAAATTTACTCAATTGGCCTGTGTCAGGTTTGTTGAAAGGTGCTTGCAAATAGCTTTGGAGGCTTCTCTCCCCAGAACAGATACCGCACAAGCAGTTACAGCATTTGCCTTATCATGCCTCAGGTCTTGAGAGGAACATTCATTTTCCATCCTATTTGTGGTTGGCCTATCTCTGAGACTCTAAAAAGAAAGCAACTGCAATGGGAAATGCTATGATGCAGACACGAATCCACAAAGAACAGGACTGAAAATACCCAAGTTGTTTTACATAGGCCACCCCAAGCTGGATCCAAAAATCTGTTAGAAAAATATTATTATATTATCCCAATTTTAATCAAGGCTACAAGCTTTTATTTTTAACTAGTTCTCATGCAACTGTCTTTATTCATACTGCTCTGTATCATTACCTACATTTTACAAACAAGAAGCTAAAGATCAATGAGGGAAAGAAGCTTGTCTGAAGTCACTTGACACCAAGTAGAGCCTAGGTCTCGTGAGTCTAAAGTCTATTATATTCAATCAACTAGGGCAATGCCCCTCATGATTTTTGGCAAGAGTCTACAAAACTCAATATAAACTGAGGAAAATGAAAATGCAAGAGCTTCATATGAGTAGATTCATGTACCTGCAGTGTTTGCAAACCAAGCCTCACAGTACTGAGCCAATGCATTAGAGCCAGAGATGGAAGCTGAATATAAATAAACCACTGTAGTTACACTGTGCCAGTTGAGCAAAAAACGGCAAGCAGCATAAATAATGGAAACTATATTAGAAATGCACAAGACTTTTTGCATTCTAATTCCATGGCACTATCAGTAAAATGCACAAGGAAGGCTTTGTAATATTGTATGAAGACAAGTTAACCCGTTGTATAACTGCACTGATTTCAGTTGTTTAACACAATCAAGAGAGAACTAACAACAGTAAAATTGTATGCATGTATGGTTGTTGTTTTTTTTTCATTTGATAGTTCAGAATGATACTTTCTGGAATCTTTTCTGTTTCTTACCTGGTAAAGTAGCTTGTGGCTTGGAGGTCTGAGTCCTGTGGACGAAGGTTATTATGCACATACTTCAGATCCTGGATGCTGTTCAGCTCAGGCAATCCTGCATGCAGCATCTATAAATACATGGGATCAGTACAATAAATGCACTGAAAATCCTAAATGAAATGAACTTAACTGAGAAAAGCATGGATTCATGGGGAAAATACTCTTTCCTTTTCATACAATGCAAACCTCTCCTCATTTGAATGGTGCTCTGTAAGACTGGACACCTGGATCACTGATGAGGTGAATGCATTATGGTGTTCACACCCTCATACTGAGGCAACACAAGACAGGCATCTTCACATGGATCATGGCCTCCAGTCCCTAGCAATTTCCCCCTTTCCTCAAAGCTACTTTGGTCTCCCCAAGGTGGCAAAGGGAACTCCAGGCCAGGCCATGGAGACCAATCTCAGTGGTAAATAATCACCGGTCTGACAACAAAATCTTCCTCCCCAAGTAAGGCCTGCTCAAACACCAGTTCAGAATGGAAAACTTCCCTAATCCTATATACTTCTGTGATCCAAAGAGAGCCTCAAAAAAACAACTTTTTGTTACATTAGTTCAAGTGCATGGAAATATGATATTTTTAAAAATACGTATGTTTGAACATGCAGTATCCCTTTAACCTTTTAGGTTATATTGAGATGAGGGTTGGATTGAAGTAAGAAGTGAACTACCAGGAATATCCAATATGACTGGCACAGCTACCTCTAGTCATGTTACATGTCAAAAAAGGGTGGGGAGAGGGGGAGAAGAATCTTTCTAATTAGGTTCAAAGCTTTGTGCTACCATCACAGAGCACTATTACTTTTTGTATAACGGAGAGAAAATCTTACCCACCCATTGCTCATGAAGAATACAGATGTGACTTTATAATCACTACTTGGGCTCTGTTCTTTCTGAAATTATATTTATTTCCAGTGCAAACTGAAAAGCCCATTGATTTCAAAGGATTAGAAACTACCAGCAAATAAAAGAGAAACATTACTTTCAGCTTAATATTTTCTTTTTTGTTCAAAGGAGTACTTAAATTGGAGAAGGAGGCAGTTCATTTTCTTTAATTCTTTTCACCTTGTCTATATTTTTGAGTCAATGCTTTGTTATTTGGGGGTTTTTTCTATTTATGGATAATATGATGCTTAATGCCTAGGACCTTGTCTACAACAACACTAGGGATCTGACAGCTTGAGCACTGTTTATGTGGGTCTGGCTAACAGGAAGCAGAAGGGACAGAACAATTTTAATAGTTTCAAGGTAAATTTCAAAGGTTTTCAGGACCATCTTGACCTTATCTTGGAGGAGTTTGATGAGTACAAGGAGAACAGGAGCAATGATCACCTTCTGCATTTATACACACATACCCGTGCTTATCCACAAGTGTCCAAGCACTCTGCAAAAGAAGGTTGTCACCATTTTACAAATGGGGAAAGTGAGGAACAGGCAAGTAAAGCATCTTGTCCAATGCCATACTAAACCAATGCCAGGAATACAAACAGAATCCAGGTTTCCTACAGTATCATTAGCTACCTCAGCAGAAATACACAGAATGGGAATGAGTCCATACTCAGCAAATTTAGGAAAGTGGAGCCCAAGTGCTATGGAAGCAGGAAGTTCTTGGTGGAGTGGCTTTTCTATGCTGTCCTGTTTGCTACCCTTCCAGCTGCCTGGTCTTCAAAGAACATCCTGCAGACTCCACCGTTCTTGCTATATATATTTTGTCCCCTCTTGTTTAAGGGTAGATGAAGGATTCTCATCATCATGGCTAGAAATGCTGGATGCTGATCAGATAAAACTTGAGGCAACCACTTGGAAAAGCAGGGATACATATACAGGGACACCTAGCTGGTATGGGGGATGATATTTAATGGTTATTGGCATTTTGACTGTCTGGTCATAACTAGAAATGGTCCTCAATCATATAATTCAGACCTGGCTGTCTAATTCCAAAAACACTGGTGGTGTTGAATTTGATCAGAGTGAAAGAGAAATAGAAGTACAGCTATGAGGGATGACTTGAAATACCAGTTTTTTAGGGTGATTTAGATACAAGCTAGGCTCATCTCTGAATGTAGCAATGAATAATACTGGTCACTGATACCATGACTTTTCATGCTTAAATCTCAGTGCTTTACCAGCATGAGCAAGTTTCATTAAATCCATTTTATAGACAGCATTTCTGAAGCACAAGAAACTGAAATTACTTATCCAAAGGAATAGTGAGATTGCTGGGTCTGCTACAAATTGGGTCCGATGTTTCCTGGATTTCAGTAGTGACTCCTGTTTGCCTGTTTTACACTCACATTTTGGCAGAGAGCTAATTTGTCAGGATTGAATGAACTACTCTCCCCAACCCCTGCTACAGAGAGCCCTGCAATACAATCTTCTATCTGACAAACCTGTAAGATTGGAATGGATTTTACATTTTTTCTAACTAGTTGAATGGTGCTCGTGTCCCTCTGGAAGCCCTCTATAACAGTTCACATTGATTCTTTAATGAGGGCAAAGCTGATGAACTACAGGCTTTTATGTAGCTGAACTCCGCCTGCAAATCTCTTGGGCTTCCCACAGATGTTTCTGCTTTTGAGAACTATGGGAACTTCATGGATTATTTCTTTCCTCACTCCCAAGAGCAAATGCTGAGGCTGTTGATATCTAGAAACATACTTCTCACCACCAAGAACAAAGCATTAACTCCATACTGCCCCAAAAAGCAACTTGTGGTTCATAAGCACAGTTTGCTGGAAACCACAAAGAGTTACCAACCATTCAAAACAGAAAATGTTCAGAAGCCCTATTGCAGCTAGTCTTATGTAGTTATAGATTGGATTTTTCTTTTAAAACCCACCTTATATGGACTTTATATAGATATGAAAAAAGTCTGTTTTCAGCATCACAATAATCTGAATTGTGGAAATGCAAATTATTTCAATAGAAAATAAATAGAAGGAAATTAGTTTATCTTCCCTTTTCCTGAATCATCTGTTTTTTGCCCTTAAGTGAACTCAAAGAGAAACTTCCTTAGAGCTTATTTAGTTTTTTTACATATTTCCCTTATCTATATCCCTCTTTGATTTGTTTAGTTCTGACTAGTTCCTTGTGTGATATGCAGAGTCAAATTCTCACTCCAAGCTTTCCTGAGAAGAGCCAGGGCCTCACCAACCTTCTGTTGTTTATTTTACTGTCTCTTGATTTGTTTTCTCTGTTTAAAAAGCATTCATCCATAAGCATTGAGCATCCTGCCTGTTATTTGCAATTGCAAAATATAATACAATCAGATTATCCTCTACCAAGCTGCGGTTCATAGGGAAATGCTTATATATTCCTATATGTTAGCCTGTTCTACCATGGTCCTACCACTCTTCAAAGGCCAGAAAACACAAATGGGTCCCTCAAAATCGTAGCCATAGTGAACCAAGAGTAAGAGCCATTCCAGAGTCCTTTGAGAGAACCCTTTCCCAGCATCTCCTTTCTATTACATCAAAGGGGATTTTGTGTTATCACCTCTGCTGACTGCAGGAGTTTCAGGGCATCAGTGGAAAAGAGGTTGCCCCACTGGGAATGGCTGGTATCAAGCAATTTAGGAGTTTACAGGTTAAACCTGAAATTTCTATTGAGAAGCTCATAAATAACCAGTTGAGGCCCTTGAGTACCGGTGCCCAGGTGCTTTCCTTGAGACATTGCATTAAAAACAGGGCACCCCCTGGCTGTACCAGTGTTCAGCCAGGTCCATTACAACATGCTCGGTGTAAGTGAAAATTACATTTTGCTGCACCCCAAAAAGTGTTTAGAGAGGCAAGATTTGGCAATCCTGTATAATTCTTTAGGTCAGGTGAGACAAGAATAGGGCAAGGATTTCAGCCATCGTCCCTCCTCTCCTGTGTGTTTGAAGGATGCTGATGATGCAAGGGCCCAAAGCTGCAGCAATGAGTGTAGAGCTGCACCAGTGCACAGTCCAGATGTTTGGTCTTTGCATCCATGAAGCTGAAACTGTTTCACAAACATTTAATTAATTAATTAACCAATTGCATCACTCCATGAGGTAGGGAGGTATTAATATTGCCATTGGGTGGGTAGGAAAATAAAAGCACAAAAGAAGTTATGGATCTGCTTAAAGCTAAGCAGAGAATGAGTGGCAGAGCTTCAGTAGCAAAATATTTTTTAAAAATCCTGTTAAGCATCATTGAGGATTAACATAATTTCCTTGTGCTGAATATTTTTTCTCCAGTCATTCTCACTACATGTAGCATTCTTGCCATATTGTATTTACCCTTGCAACAAAATGCTGTTGAACTCTGTAATAATAGATCCCAAACAACTGCTGTGGCAGGACTGTAAGATGCAATGTCTTGCAGCCTCAGCAACTGATACTGTAACATTTTTTAAATGGTGGATTTAGTTTGATCTTGTGAACAGAGTTTGCAAATGTCTGCTGGAAGAGCTGAAAATAGGACTTGGTGAAATTCACAAATTAAAGCTTTGTAATTTAGGTTGTCCCACACCTGGTTGTAATTTTGCAAAACAGCTGGTTTTTTGGACAGAAAATATTGAAGCTTCATGTTTGTACAGAAATTAATTAGCTTTCACACACAAGTGTAGGCACAAAAACCTTTCCTGTACAAAGTGGCACTCTGACTGAAGTCACTGACATTTACAAAAAGGAGAAGTGCTCCTGGAAAATATCTGACACCTCTTCAAGTCACTGTTTTATAGTAGAAAAAAACCAATAAGGGAGATTGTTGTTTGGTTTCACCCTTGACTTTCTTACCATCTCCAACAGGTTCAAGAGCAACCGACTGTGCTTCCTGACTGTATTATAAGCTCGACAACAAAGCTCCACAAATTCTTGGAAGCGCTGAGGGTTTTTTCCACCTTCTGTGATGAAATACTCCATCTCTGAAGTAAAGATGAAAGGAGCTCGGTCCCTTGGGGGGGGGGAAACAAAATGCAAAGACAAATGTCAAAAAAAGAAAAATAATGTAAGAGCTAATCATTTTAACTCACAACTCATATTTGGTTTTCTGCTATTCCATTCCTCATTACTTCTTTTTCTCCTGCTCTCTATGTGCAGATGACTTCATTGCTGCACTCAGTGACACTGACTAATTGTGGCAGAAACAGATCTCACAGTGAAATCATCTTAGTAAAAACTATTATGCAGCAAACTGGTGAGGCCAACAACTGAAGAAGAATCTCCTTTTAAACTCTTGTTGCTTTCATTTCCTTACTCCCTGCCTGAGCATTAATGTCTTGAAGCATATTCTCACCTGGCATTAAAACATTTAAATGCCATACTTGAATAGACTGGGATCCAAACATAACTCCCTACTGGGAAGGAAATACATTTAAAACAAAATCAGAACTGAACTAGCATGCAATTCATTTCTTTTTTCCCTTCAGTACACTTTAGGGAAAGGCTGGTTCTGATCTCAGCTTCACCAGAATAAACCGAGAAAAAGTCTACTACCTCTCTACCGTTACAGTGAGTTTATAATGGTGTAAGCTGAAAGTAGACCTTGGTCTCCTTTTTTCCTTTTTAATAACATAAGTTTTTTGCGGCTATGTTATGGTACTGCAGGAGAAAATGACTCAGAATTTTGCTAACAAACCTATCATTTGATAGCTTTAGTACAGCTTAACACACTGTACTGTAGCACACCCAGAGCTAATGCAGGGTTTTATTTTAACAAATAAAAGTAAACAGAACAGAGACTTATCAACTAAGGAGATGTATGCAGTGGGTTGGGTTTAACACTTTTCATTATATACAAGCTGGAGCCAACACCCAGAATTCAAATATTAGTGAGGAGGCTTCATGTTCGGATATCAATTCTAGAATTCAAGCCCATCTCTAGGGAAAAAAAACTCCCATAGTGTTGAGAGCCACATTTCAATAGGAATTATTTTTCACCTGCCTCAGGCCCTGAAAAGGGGCATGAAGAGTCAAAGGGTGAGATTAGCCAGTCCACCAGCAATGCTGGTTAGAATGCCCAGCTTGGTTATCTCAGTGGATTATGAAAAATGATAATGAAGTTAAAAGTATTAATACAACACAGGGGTGTAGGTTGTAGCCCTGTTGGTCTAAGGACATAGGCAGACAAGGTTCTTTGGGTGAATCTGATATTTTTTATTAGACCAATTTAAATAGATGGAAAAAAAATTTAAGCAAGCTTTCAGGTTTAAAAACCCTTCATTAGGCTGAGGAAGTTTCTGCAGTTGGTGTCAAGCAGCTAGAGGCTGGGCTGGTCTGCATACAAGATAGGCAGTCAGTGAAGATGTAAACTGAGGAGTCAGTGGGTGAGACAGGCTGGATGTTGGGGGAGAAGGGGGATGAACAGTGAAGAGATACCTGGGGAGTCAGATGTCAGGCAGGTTATAATGCATCATAAATGCAATGTCTATATTTAGTCCATGATTTTTAGTATTCAGGAGGC